CTTACTTACTTACTTACTTACTTACTTACTTACTTACTCAATAAATTTGACTTAATCCTCTTTTTAAACATAAAGTAAATTGTTTTAGATGTTTTTATAATAATATTAAGACAATTTCACAAACCTATTCCCTGAATTACAGCAGTGCTCCTTCACACTAGTTCAAAATGGAAGTTTTGCAAAAATATCCATTATGGTGGCTCTATCTTTTAACACATTTTAATTGAATATTTGAATGTGCATACATTTTTATGGGCTTTACACATGACATGTAAAATACTATATTCAACCAAATCCTAAAATGTTAATATTTTCAAATAATATCTTTGTTGGGTGACATATTTCTACTAATATATTTTATAGCTCTTTTTTTGTAAAATAAAAACATGATTAGTTATTGTCTTACATACTTTCCCCCAAATTTCAATACAATAATTTACATGCAGAACAATCTTTACATGCAGAGTTTTATCGTTCAGTAACGTTTTTACTTTGTACAGCAAATACAATCAGTTTGGCTATTTTTATTCTTAAGTAACTTATGTGAGATTTCCATGTCAGCCAAATCATTCACATTCAAAATAAACAGTTTTTGTCCAAGCWCAGAACCTTGAGGAATTCCACAATTAATATTTCATAATTCAGACCTTACATTATTTACCTGAACAATGTGTTCTATTATTAGATAACTAGACATCTACTGTAGTGCTAATGCTCTAATGCCATATTTATTGAATCTTTAAATAAGAATGTTGTGGTCAGTAGTGGTGAAAGCTTTCTTTGAATAAACAAAAATGTTAACAATTTAAAATTTGTGATCAGCAACAATTGATATTTATTTCATCAATTCCGTGAGAGTCATTGACATTGAAGTATTTGCTGTAACTCATATTGACTGTTACTAAAACATTCTGTTTTTCTATAAATTCATCTAATATGGTTCTAGTTTTAAATAATTTTGCTGAATTTTTTTAAAATGTGTTGCAACAAGGATATTGGTTAGTAGTTTGTGAACACACATTTATCACAATTCTTACAGAGAGGAATTAACTTTTGAACTTACTATTTCACTTTCATTGATTTCTTTGTCATTCTTTACAAATTACTGTGAAATACCTGATTGTATACTTTGTGAGCCTGCCTAACGCCACAAAATAAACAAACTTTATCACGTGCTGTGCTGTAGAAAGCATGCTTTTGTTCTCTTATTTTGAAATTTGTCCGAGTGAACCATCACAGGAAGTGCTCGTTTGTGTGCGCGTGGCCGCTGTCGCGCGAGCTTGCCACAGCAACAACAACTGTGGAGGCAGTGACAGTTGCTCTCYGCTCGGTAAGAAGTCTTCAAGTTGTAAACGTTTTTTATTGATAATATTTATGTATGCATCAATTTATTGTGATTATTATAGTTGTTACTTTTTTATTTATCTGAGCGGATGAGTCGTTTCTGTCACATGAGGAGGAGGGAGGAGGGAGGAGGAAGGAGGGCTAAAAGATAAAAGGGAAAATAGGCTTTTTTTGACAGCTAGCTTTTAAGCTAGCTTGGTCAGGGGAAATTCATACAGGAGCTAATCGTGTGCAGCGGTCAGAGGCTAAATAGGTTATTAATATTAATATGGGCTGGAGCCAACGGGCAGCTGAAAGTGTACAGACTGGGTCCGAACCGAACCATCACGTTAATGTCTGTCTGTTTGTCGTAGCGCCGCCGCCGCTGGAATTATCACCCAGTAAGAAGAAGAAGAGGAGCTCCAGGTCCTCCACAGGAGCTCCCCTCTGCTATGGACTAATTCCTGGAGAGATTTTCTACACTACTTTTCCATTCCCCTCACCCCACACACCTTTACCTGTTACACCTGGTCCGAGCTGGACAGCATGGTGTTGAGCAAACACAGCTCCTGACTGGAAGCCATGAAGCAGACCGGGAAGTGACCCTCGCTGGACTCTAGACTGGCACGATGGCGTCCAAGGAGAGACTGTATGAAGTGTGGATGCTCTACTGCACCAAGGTAATGTCTGTCCCGGTGTTGCTTGTTCTGACGTCACCCTCCGGGCCCATTCTCCCTTGACATTTGTGTTTAGGAAGTCTTGTGAGCTGGCGTCACCCTGAAGGTCACAAACTCTGCTGGTGTGTAAAACAATTCAAAACCCCTGCGGTTAAACCTGGACTAATGATGGAACTTGGGCACTTTTGAGTATTTTAAAGACTTTTTGAATGGTCCCAGAGGGGAGGGTTTTTTTTTTTTTGGTAACGCACATGTGAAGGGTGCTGCTCAGTGTAGGAGTAAAATAAAAGAACCCAAAAAACAACTTTTAYCCTGGATTCAAATTAAGGTTCTAGTGTTCAACATTTTGGATGTAACTGTTTTTGTTGATTAGGATGGAGGAGTTCAGGTATCTGTTTTTGTTCTGGAGTGATGGTAGGATGGACATGGATCTACAGATCAAGGTCTCCTCAGTAATTAGGGTGGGTTTTTTTCAGTCTATTGTGATGAAGAAAGATTTGAAAAGGCAAAACTCTGTATKTATTGTTCCGTCTACTAGTACTGGACAGTATGACCAACACTTTATATCATAATATATGACTGTACTTTGCTTTTTCATGAGTACCTGTGTGTGTTGGGGAGTACCTCTAACAGGCATGTTTGATGGGGATATTTGGCTCGGGTGTCCTCCTGGGGCTCTTCCTGTTTGGATGCGTAGGGCTTCARTTTTGGAGGGTCCTGTTTGAAGATGAGGTTGCTTCCCGTGGCTCAGCTGAGTTTSCAGAGTGATGTAGTTTGACTGGCATCTGAGCTTTTAGAGGCGAAACAAAAATAAAAACATTTTTTACCGTCTATGTTCCCACCCTGATGGGCTGTCATGAGGTTTGGATTAGGACCCGGAGATCCAGATCCTGGAGTGGTTGAAATGATCTCACTTCGTAGGGAGGCCGGGCTCAGCCTCGGAGCTGCTGCTCCTCTGCATCTAAAGGAGTCAGTTGAGGATCGTACAGATCTGATTACATCTTAATTTCTGTAGTTTTATTTGCTTCTTGTTCGTCTTCATCACCCTGGAACGTGATGAAACTGCAGTGTTTTTCACAGCAGAGGGGTGGGAAAAAAAGGAACAGCTCCTCCGCCAGTCAGCTGATGGCCAGATTTAATTCACTCCGCATTAAGCCACGCGCCTCGTCCTGACGTCCAATCAAAAGCGCCCAGCCTGAGCCTCTTCTCACGTGAGCCCGGCTGCAGTGGCTTTAATCCCCTCGCTGCAACCATGGAGCCGTTCTCCTCGCATTCAGGACGGCTCGTCAAAATGAATCCGCCACGCTGCTGACACAGGAAGTACATCTGATGCCAGCTGTCGGAAGTGGGTTCTGGACGGAGGTTTTAGGACYGGGTCGCCGTCGCCTGCGAAAATGTCAGCAGGTTTAACAAAGGTTTGTTTACGCTGACTCAGCTGAAATGGAAAAGCGTAGCTGAGGGATGTCCCAAAGCTGAATGCGTACGTGAGGGTCGCCAGGACCTGTGAGGAGAACCTCAGAGTCACGTGGGCATGATCAGACCAGAAGTCCAGACCCCCTGTGACCCACCCACTGAAGTACCTGTTTCACCAGGTTACCACTGACTTCTCTGGGGGGAAAAAATTATTATTGAAGCTGAATATCTACGATTGAAACCTGCAGTTTGTAGAAGCTCATGAGCAGTCAGTATCTAACCTGCTGTGGATGTTATGGCTGTAACAGTAACTGTTAATTTGTCTGTGTCTCGCTATAACTCCAGACAGAAAAGAAGGCACCATCAGAACACTCTGCACCATGTATCAAACTGAAGACTCGTGGGCCAGATCTGGCCCGTGTAAGTGTTTTATCTGGGCCCCAGAGATGCAGTTTTAATTTGGTCAGATCTGGTTTGTAGCAGATCGAGTCACCTCGTGACTTTTACTCTGAAACTGGGCTGATCAAACCTGCCAAGAAAAGACGGGTCAGGGGTCCGACTCGGGTTGAGGGACTGAGTGACATCGACTCTGCTTTCGTGTTTATTGTCTTTTTCTGTCATTTCTTCAGTTTTTTAAAGTTAGCAGCTGTGTGAGCAGATTGCCTGTTTATTGTTTATTTTTCTTTATTCATTAAAGTTTGTTTTAAATCCTTTTAAATGAAACAAGGATTAATATTTCTAAATGGATATTTTAGCTTACTGACTCTAACACAAAGGTTCATTTATTTATTTTTTCATTCAACACTGAGATTTGTCTGTGGTTAGGATTACGTTTGTAATTTTCCCCTTGAGTTTGACAGCCCTGCTCTACACCAAACTAAACAAACTGTCTGGTTTAAAAAAAACTCACTGATCAGACAGCTGCAGCATTGACCCTTTAAAAAGCACTAAACCATGAGTATAATTATTTAATATCTCTGATATTGATCTCTCTTTTCTCACACTAGTACTCAGCTGATAGAGGCATTTTACTTTTATTTTATTTGAAATTTGGAATAATGTTTGTGCAAAGCCACAATTTATGGGTCCAGTTACATGACCGCAGATTAGAGAAACAGTTTAATTCTGACCAACGGTTAGAGAAACAACAATGAGTCACAATATGTTACAAAACAAATAACTGGATGATTTTTTTAATTGTCGATACGTTGCAGGTTGAGCTTTTTTTTTTCTTTTTTTTGTTCCATGTATGCATTTTTTGTAAGTAAATTGACATAAACTAGTAATATCCAGATGGTTCACAGTGTGTTTAATTTATAAAGCAGAGACTTCAGGGTGACAGACTAAAACAAAGCATGTGAGCTAAAATGTCCACAGGAAACAGAGACGAATTAAAATAATTCTTGGCTAATCGGAAAACTTATCYGGTTTGACCAAAACAATCAGTAGYTGCAAACCTGCTGACAGCTGTTCTGAGGTTGCTCATGTTAGGATTTTACAATACTATATTACAACAGGAAGTGCTACAGTCGGTGCTGTTCACGTCAGAATCTCACTGAACTGCGAACACAGTAGTTGTCAAACGGCGTTCCTCAGGGAGTAAATGTCTCATAACTTCTCGGGGGTTCTGAGTTTCCTCCTGTGAGTCGCAGAGCCTCCCAGGCTGGACGCCTACATTTTGTTTTTCATATAAAAATAAACCGTGCAACACATTAGCTTTAAAATAGATGCACCTTGGACTCGTCTCAGTGTAGTTTCCATAAATTGTAGATTTGCATTTTGACGCCTGAACTGGAGCAGAACACGTTAGAGATAATGGCTCTGGAAGTCCAGCTCAGTGTATTGGAGCAGATTGTGCTTGCAGAGAAAACCACTGAGTAGAATCTTGTTTTTAAAATGTTTTCTGTCTTTAATACCTTTAATAWTACAAGAACTGACATCAAACTGGGTCAGCTAATTTCAGTTTAGCTGACCTGAATTGTGTTTTACACTCAGTCGTGTCCTGATACAGTTCTTCTTTTATGAGCACCTGGAGCCAGGGGGAGGCTAGTCCTGGTCCTGGAGGGCCACACACACCTGCTCAACACACCTGGCTGAAGACCTGCTGAAGGTCTAGCAAATGACTGACAGCAGATAACAGAGGCATTGTTTACCTTAAAGCTGAACTTTAAAAAAAAAAAACTTGTTGAATGTTTGAACCACAATCAGCTCTTTTAGGAGAACCGGTCGGTCCAGTTTGATTCAGGTAGACATCAGCTGTGTGTTTATCTCTTGATGTGGTTCACCTGAACACACAGTTCCTGGTGGGCTGGGTTTGGGTGTAAACATGTTTCAAGACGAGCTTTAGAGTTGAAACCGGGAGTCGTTCAGAGCTGCGAGGTCACTTATGAGCACTGAGACTGTTACATAATCTGACAGACACAGCTGCTGCAGAGAGAAAGTTCAGCTGATGTTCTGAGCCTTCGCCTGCTGCAGATAAAAAAAAAAGAAATGTTTTTGTCCCTCAGCATCCAGTGGGTTTTAGCCGTCTAAATTTAAAGATTCACGGTGATGTCACCCCAACCGCCCATGAGTCGCTCTCTGAGCGTGGCAGAGGGAAAGAAGCATCAGAGATTTGCATAAACTGCTGATCTCATGGGAGCCAGAGGTGGATCAAAGGAATGAGCAGGGGATGATGGGAAAATAAACATGCATTCAGGCCGAGGAAGAGAAAGCGTTGAGGTTTGTTGCACTTAGTCACTCCTAAATCCCTCAGTCACTTTTCGTTCCCTCAGGCTCCTTCCTTGCCGTTTGCCTCCCAGTTATGAATAAACCCTGGTGTCGGAATCAGACCGGTGGTTTTATCCCCGCCCACCGGCTTCTATAAATACACCTTTTTAAAGTGACATCATGGCGGGAGGAGAGAGACCACAGCCGACTGTTTAAACCTCACAGYGAAGAAGGGGAGCGGTTGTGGTTTCAGTCAGACCACTTCCACCCAACCTGCTCATGGGTTCCTACAGAAACTGAACCACCACCAAACAGACAGAAAGCTTCGACGCATCAAACAGTTACTTAAAAAATAAAACATTGTTTTAGTTCAACAACTGTTCTTTTATTTATCTGTGATTTCCTCAAAGTTTTCTAAAGGCAGAGGCTTTTATTCAGTACAACCTTTATTAAGTTGGTTTTGGTTCTGGACTCTGCTGGGTGTGTGAGCTGGTTCTGGTCCCCTCAGAAATCACACTAAGGTGACCAGAAGGAGGCTAAATCCTGGACTGTGTTTTGTGGGTCATGAACGGTCAGTGTCTTACCTGTTGTAGATAGCTTTTTGAACGATGTCAGTTTGGATGAATCGGGTTTAGTTCTGACCAGATCAAGTGGTCTGGGGTCTAACTTACAGGAAGTCAGCCTCACCAAACCAAGGATACTGGATTTCCCTCACCAATCTCCATTTTGTTTACCCATATTAAAGATTTTAAAACTGGAGTTTGGGAAAAAAAAGTCAACTTTTCTCGTTAAAATCAATTTTTCAGTCACATCCCATTTTAAAATCCATCAAACTAATGAWAAAAACTGCGTCTGGAGAACGGAGCGCATCGATCTGTGGTGGCAGCTTCGCTTCAGAGCTCAGCCCAAATAGATCTTCAGGAGCACGACTCAGCAGCTCTGTACAGAACCTAAACAGATCTTTAGCCTCGCTGCAGATCTGCTGAGTCATGTTTGTAACGTGACTGTAATAAAACGCTGCAGAGGCTCAGGGGAACACGGGAACAAGACGAGTGTGGGAGGTGAAACAGGGTTGTTGAGCTCGAGATTGCTACTTGTATGTATGTATGTTTTTACAAGTGTGTGTGTGTGTGTGTGTGTGTGTGTGTGTGTGTGTGTGTGTGTGTGTG